CCCCCCCCCCCCCACACACACACAAAAAAAAAAGGAAAAACCCACCCAAGAGAACGCCTGCTATTTGGCATTTTAATCATGTCATGTACTTCTTTCGGATGTTTTGTGCAGGAGGCCCAGAGTGCAATAAATGACTTGAATGGTAAGAACAAACTCTTTGGTCTACTAATATCCAGTTTTGTTACTCCATTGTATTTGTGTCCACAATCTCATCTAATTTAGAGAACATGGTGTTTGTAGAGTATTCTTTACCATCCACTTACTATTGGAAAAACGTGGTTGTGCCTACTTATATTCCTTTCATTGGTTTGATGTTGAGAGACTCTTCTCTTTATTTTTGCCCTGGGACCTTGGTCTTTCATTTTAGGAAGCTAGCCATCATACCTCTAACCTCATCTAATGTCCATTACAATCTAGTGTCATTTGATTCTCATGCTTGTGGTAATCTAAATTTCTACCATGTTTGCATTCAAGAAATGAAAGTACGGTCGGTGTAGGTATGCCAAAAATTAAATATGATAGGGTAAAAAAATTAATTCTTGGCTAATTAGCGGCTTCATGGCATCTTTGCATTTATCATTTTGGAAGAGTTAATTCTATTGACCCCTGGTTTTCTTTCCTATCTAATTTGAAATTTTCGCTGCAAAAGGGAAGTGGCTTGGTAGCAGACAAATCCGCTGCAACTGGGCAGCAAAAGGTGCTGGAGCCGTTGGCGAGCAGAATTCAGATGCCAAAAGTGTTGTTGAATTGACTAGTGGAACATCAGGTTGGTTTCATTGTATGCTTATTGGCTTCTATATCTTGTCTTCTTATAGCTTACTATCTCAACTTCTGATGTCTTAAACTCTATACTCGTCTATTTTAAACATCTTCATGCTCTCTGTTTCTCTATTTCATCTTCGGTGTTCATGTTGCATGTGTTATAGATAGGACATGCATATTCTATGGAATTCCGTGCTATATACATGCACCGTTTATCAAACTGATCTGAGCTATATATGTGACATTATGTGCTTAGTAATGCTTGGCGGTTGCCTTATCCTCCTTTATTAGGTTAATTTGACTCTGTCTTACAATCTTCTCGTCATTATATTTTCATCATGTAGATGATGGTCAAGAAAAGGTGGTCAACGAAGATGCTCCAGAAAATAATCCCCAGTATACAACTGTTTACGTTGGCAACCTTGCTCCTGAAGTAAGTGTCTTTTGAACTTTCANAGAAGGAGATTCAGATAGACTTACTTGGGATGAATTTATTAGCCATCTATTTTGTTGTTAGCCTATTTAGAATATCTATTTGTTCTGAATTCTAGCTGTGTTTCAGGTTACTTCAGTTGACCTCCATCGTCATTTTCATGCTCTTGGGGCTGGTGTTATTGAAGATGTTCGTATTCAACGAGACAAAGGTTTTGGTTTTGTAAGATACAACAGCCATGCTGAAGCAGCTCGAGCTATTCAGTTGGGGAATGCCAGACTCCTTTTTGGTAAACCTGTTAAGGTACATTGTTGTGTCAAGATATAAGAATTTTTGGCAGCTTGACTATATAGTTATTCCTGGCGTTTTCTCTATTCTCCCCC